GCTATCCCAAAGAAATGGATTTGTTGCTCCATTAGTTCACTGCTTCAGCAGAATGTAGTTTAAAATCTTGCAGTGCACCAGAAAGCACATTTGATTTCTCTGATGGTTTCTGGGGTTTCATTTGCTGCAGAAAGGACAGAGTTCCAGGCAGAGGGGCCTACACACAGGAGCATGTGTAGCCTCGTGGTCCCTTCAGTGTCTACCAACTTATCCAAGTTTTTCATATTACCTATCATTCCCTTTCTTCCCAGATTTCTCTGCAAATGGAATATACACTTGTTCTAGACATAGAGAAAAGGTGTGTTCTCTTATGATGCAATTGCCTTGCAGTTATTTGTTGAGGTTGATATGTGATGAGACAAGGAACTCATACAGAAAATAAGAATTGTGCTGCACAGCAGAGGTGATGCCAAGTATTGAGGTACCACCATTTCATGGTTGTTCATAAAGAAATGGTCTTGTTCATCAGATTTAATTTAGATAACAAAATCCTAAGGAATGGGTGTTTGTCTAATTTCTCTGAATTAATCAGGGCCAAAACTTTGCCTTCAATGTAGTGAAGAAACACAAATAGCTCATCATTCTTCACAGTTTTATAATAATAATCTGTATTTCTGCCACACACAGCTCTACTCACAAAGTACTAAATATGTTCAGGCAAGTAAAATAAAGCTAAACTCAGGAGGAGGAGGAGGAGGCAGATTTGACAGTTAGTCGGATGTGTGTTGTCTGCATTGTCTTTTCCAGTAAGGCACTTGGCGCAGCTAGAATAAAGTTTGAAGTGCTGTCCCTGTAATTTTATACTTTTCCTGTGGCTACTTGTGCTTCAGAAAAAATTCAGGCTGCAGTTCTCATCTGGTAAAGTGAAACTGAAGTTGATAGTTGATTTCAGTAGAAGGTCAGTCAGGCCTCACTAGAATATCATCTCACGATCAACAGCAGCATAAGATTGTAGGACACGTCAAGGTTTTCAAACCACTCTCCATGTCAGTGGATCTGATAGTTGTATGTTTTTAATTTTCATGGCTGTGTGTGCATGTCTCTGTGTGCATGTTTGGTGGATGCAAATAGTAAACAAATTGCAATAAACAGTCACATGGGTAGAATACCTGATGTTTTTATCAAGATCAGGAGATCTGTTTTCCTTCTTGCTTCAGTTTTGAAATCTAAACCAACTGTTGGAAAAGTTTGAATTGCACTTCTTGGGTGTCAATCTCAAAACCATCATGGATTCACCAATTTTGCATACAGGAGGAGCACCCCTGCTTGTCTCCACAGTGTCTGAACCCTCCTCCTGTAGCTCTAATCACTCTTGGTGTATCTTAATTATCCTCATTGAAAAATCTCACTCTTGGCATTTCTAATGAAGTTAAGAATCTAATTAACTGCACTTTTGTTCCAAATAAAACTTGGTAGGGCTGAATTCCAGTTCTTGGTCTATGCCTGCTTCTCAAAGCTGCTAATATGAAGGGTAATTTATCATCCTAATCCCTTTCATTACTACTTACTCCTGTTCACAATGCTGCTTTAATAGTCTTATTCATGTGCTCTCCTTGTCCTGATGATTGAGGGAGATACAGACTGTGTAGCTTTTGCTTAATCCCTGGTCCTTTAAGCACAGTTGTAATCACTTCCTCCATGAAATGATGACCTTTATCCGGATCAACAAGACTCCAGGACCCCCACAGAGGCCAAAGGCTTCTTGATACTCTCCCTGCTGCTGGATGTGCTAGAGAAAATGCTTAAAGCCCCTGTGAAAAGGAATCAGACCCTTCCAAGGAGTTTCATTACTGCAGACTGATTTGGGGGACTAATGTATATAATCTATACATTATCACACCCACAGTTCGACAATCCACTGCTGCAGCAAAGAGATAGGACCACACTTTGTTCTTGTCCTTCCTGTGCATGTCTTTGACAATTTTGGATCTGTTTCCTAATCTTTTTCTCTATCCTTCAACGCTGTTATTTCTTTATCCCTGAGAGTGTTTTTCTGATTTTCATGTAGTGTCTGTAGCAATTCTTTCTCCATTGTTTGTTTGCTCTGCTGTAGCAAAACTGCTGTGAGTACCACTGGTGTTGGCAGCTAATCAGACATGGGAGGGTTGTATTGATTTTGACATTTTTAGGGCTGAAGCAGGAGCACCAAAGACCTTGATGTACAGGTTCCCTGGCACTGCATTCTCCAAAAATCTAAGTGCTTTTTAATCCAAGTTTTTGTGATAGTCAGAGAGAGAAATAAGTTAACAAGAAACCCAAGGAACTGAAGATCACTTATATATGTTATTATCTGGGGATTTCCCCTTCCCATTAAGTTCAGACAGCTCTGGATATTTGAAAGTGGTAAGAAAGATTTATGTAGACTAAACAGATATGTACCATGTGTAAATTCTGAAAAACTTTCTTACCTGTCTATAAAAGTTAGCCATTCCACTTTTAGTTGTTTTTATAACCTTCAAAACCAAAGGAAAGAATCTTTAGTCCGATGATCAAAACTTTTACAAAAGAATAAAATTTATGTCAAAGTAATAGAGGACCAAAAGGTAGTGATAAAACTAGCAAATACACTGAGCAGATGTTTTTGTCTGTTCTTCAGTCTAGAAGCTGATTATTAAAGCAGTTAATATTTTAAAATTATTTCTGACTCTTAGTAAAGTTCTGTGCCTGGTTTTGCTATTTATGCAGCCATCTAATGTACCCATCCTGGTCCATTTGGAATCAGTAACAAAACTCCCTTTTAAATTATTGGCTCTCTGTATAGTTTCAAACACAGCTGAAGAGACAATGACTCAGAAAGCTGTGAAGCTTTTGTTATTAGAAAAGGAACTGTTCCCTTGACATATCACTGTGACAAGCTAACTGCAGCAAAAAGTAATAGAAGTACACTTCAGGCTTCAAGCAATCTTTATTTTATTTCTGAAATAACTAGTAACTGCTTCTCAGATTAAATACTTGTCGTATCTTTGTTATCTGCAGAACTGAGATCTTTGTTGACCAGCTGATTTGTTGTTTGGTTGGGTTAGGATTGTAGACTAATTTAGGTTGGAAGGGACTTCTGAAATCATTTAGTCCACTTGGCTATTTGAAGTAGGTGTTGTTACATCAGTAGGTTGCCAAGGTATGGATCAACTTTTGAATGCCTCCAGGGCTGGAGGTGGCACAATCTGTCTGGGCAGCCCATTCTGGGATTTAATCACCTTGACCATCCTCAGTGTTAGAAAAGCCATGATTGTCAACTTTGTCAGTTTGAGTGTGTCAAAAATGTAGTGTGTTTCATTGAGTCTGTGTGAAAGTATTGGTTCTCAGTTGCAGTGTAGCATCCAAAGAGTCTTCAAAGTTGGCTTTGGTTTTGAGTGTGAAGGCTGGAAAGACTCAGGTAGCATGTCACTGTCACAAGTTGGCCATTGGGCTCTTATTCTGCCTGCTAGTTGTTCTGGTAGTTCTGTTGGTTTTATTTTTGTTGCCCTTATTTCACGTTAGAAACCCTGAAAAAGATTTCTCAGAATGTTTTCGTTGTTTCTCACATATGTGGTCAGTCTCTCATGCTACCATTTAAGTTGTCCCAGGACAGTTCTTAAATCAATAAAAGATTTAACTAACTCTAGGTTTCATTCATTTTCTGTTATTTGCTACAGGCTCATATTTATCCCAAGTGTAAACACTCCCTGGTAAAGATGAGACCTAAGATTTTCCTTTCCCCAAGTACTGGCAGATCATGCCCTTGCTTTTGGTGAAAGTCATTTTGCTCTTCTCAGTTTCACACTGTTTTTTTTCCCAGCACTGGTTTCCTGCATTGCCCTTTACCACATCTTTAGAAGATGACAGCAGGCTGTAGTTTCTGCACCCTTTCCAGTCTGATCTAGTTTTGAGAGGTTTCTAAAACTCAGTTATTCTCCTGGGTGCTTGATGTTGTGAAAAGGAGGATTCTTTCCCCTCCTACTCTGACCTTGCATCTTGGCAAAGAAAGCACAGTAAAACTGCATCTTACAGTTTTATGGGTGGGATGTTGTCAGAGAAAGGTTATGTGACTGCAGCAACACATCTAAGCAAATACAGTCTTCTCACTTGAACTGTGAGGAATAATTCTAGAGAAATGAAGATAATTATTTGACTAAAGTTGAAGGAAAACAAGAAACTGGGCCCTGCTCTTTAGAGTTTTAAGTGATGGTACAAAATGTTGCTACAAGAATGTGCACTCCCACTGATAAACAAGTGTGCCAGCTCCCAAAACACATTGTCCTCAGGAAACTCTCTGTCCATAGAATGTCTTTGAATTTGATCAAAATCTGTTCTCTTATAGAAAGGAGATAAAGTTTACATGTGAGTTAATTTTTTTATAGCTAAAAATGGTCAAAGAAGCTAAAGTTTATTTAGGATTGAACATATCAATCCCCTCAACTGAGAAACTGAAGCTTATAAATGTACATTTTGGCTAACTATAAGCCTTAATAAAATATTCTAGAGTTAATTAAAGTGGCTTGTCTTTTGGAACTTTTGAATTGCTTTTAAAGACTACCTTATGCTAGCTCTTTTTCTGGCTTCTGTTTTACGTGATATTTGCACTGAATTGCTGTCATATATCAGAAGTACTTATCTCTTTGGAATGCCATGTAATCTCCTACAAACAGCTGCTTGCTTTAGCTGTGCTTTTCCTCTGAAATTGAATGTAGCTTCAGTATTTTAATACAAGATTTGATTGAAATATTGAATATTCAGTTGACTTTCATGCGTTTCAAGAGCACAGATCATTTCCATATGACTATCATCACTTCTCTAATGGTAAACACATTTCAAGTTTCTGTAAAATGCAATGAAATTCAAATGCAAGTTGAAATAAAAACATCTGATCTGTAGTCCTGCATTGTGTATATTTATTGTCAGTACAGGGAAATATGCTCAGGTCTTACCAGTTCAGTTCTCTCCTTTTGCTGCTTTATCATGCATTTTCTTTTTGCTTCAAGGAAGAAATGTATTTCAAACATGTTTTTTTCCCTTTGTAGAGCCAGTATTGTGCAGAAACGCATCATTTATTTTCAAGATGAGGGTTCTCTCACCAAAAGAATTTGTGAACAAGGTAAGGTAAAGTGAAACATCTTTCTGACTACCACACTGTCTTCTGCATATTTCTCTTAACCCATTGTATCAAAACTTGCATTTTGAGGATTTGGACAGTTTCATCCAGTTTGAAATTTGGGATCTTTCATTCAGTTCCCTTATCACATGTTCCTCCTCTTTACCTCCATCTGAATGTGATACTTGCAACTTTCTACCTGGTCTTTGTGTGATACTCATTTATTTCCAGGGTACTTTGTTTATTGCTTCCCAGACTATTTCATCCCTTCTTAAACCTAAGAATTGCAGCTGGTTATTGCATCCCACTGGAAAATTCATATGCTTTGGCTGTCCAGAAATTTCAAGCCTATTGTGTTTTGAGATCAGCTGAGGTTGTGTCCTTATCAGACAGCAATCCAGGAACAATCCTCTTTTGAATCTGAAGATGACAGATTTTTGACTTATTCAAAAATGTAGATTTAGATCATTACATCCACTTTTAAAATGGATAGTTATTTCAGGATTCTAGTTTAGTCTAATATTAAACTTTAAAACAGGCAAACAAAAATCTGTGTTTAACTCAGATTTATTTACTGGTGTGCTTATTTATGGCAACTTCACTGTCCTGTTGGCTTTGGGTTGGAGCCATTTTCAATGAGTTTTTTCCTGCTGTTTCAGACTCAGCCTCGGAAGGTGTGACTGACAAACCAATTTTAGATTGTTGTGCCTGTGGAACTGCCAAATACAGGCTAACTTTTTATGGAAACTGGTCAGAAAAAACACACCCCAAAGATTTTCCACGTGAGTATCATTTTTTTAACTTGTACCATAAGGGACTATGAGGAGGGTTGGAGCTTATGTGGCACAGTATTCCTTATTTACAGCTCAGCAGTGTAAATTGATGTTTATGGAATGTTGCTTACATTCAGCATTGGAAATCAATGGATTTTTCTGCACTATACATTGCAAGGAAATTCTCTTGATTTGCCTGACACTTTGAGCTAAGGTGTGTGTGAGATTTGTATTTTCATTATATATTTGTGGTGAAAAAGGTTCTGTTCTGTTTTCTTATCAAAGGCTTAGACTGGTTTATAATGTACAGCTAGGAAATGAGATTTTAAGGAAAAGGACACAATGGATGGGCAACACGGTAATGTGAGGGAGAAGCTTAAAAAATATAGAGTTATCTCTTTGTTCTCATAAGAAATGGAAGGTTCAAGGTGAGCAGCAAAACATTTGCAAATATAGCACAGGTTTTGGGAAAGGTTTTGGGAGGGTGTGATAGAGTTCAAACAGCTCATTTGAGCACGTAGGTGCACCAGGTGCTTTCCCTGCAGAGCAGCCACTATTTTAGGGAGAGGTGTTTAATGGGAGAGGCTGTGCTCTGATTGCAAGGGCTTCTGATTTCTTGTCCAGTTCAGAATAGGGACAGAGAGAAGCTCTGGAGCACTTGGAAAAATTCATTATACATTCAACTAAAGACTTAAGGGCACTCAAGTTCCTCTCTGTAGTATGCAGAGACCATGTGGAACCTTCTCTTTCAGTGACTTTCAGTGTTACTCACTGTGTTTCAGGGTAAGCTGCTCCCTGTGGCTTGGGAGATAGTCAGGTCTGTGTGCCAGAAAGGAAGAATGGGCAGAACTGGTGGTCCCATCACTGGAGCTGAGTGACAGTATCTGTGGTTTGACAAGGCATTGTATATTTAAGGAACAATTGCTAGATCTTAGATCAAAAAATCATCTTCTGGCACTGCAGTCTCTTCAGTGATTACCCATGGAGGAGGGAAAGTTTAGTTTGGTTTTTCTCCATTTGGGGCTCAATTACTGATCAGTGTTAATTGATTCTGGAAATGTCAGGTCTGATACACTTCAGAGCTCAGTAAGTGTATTTTGGTGCAAGTTTAGGACTAAGGAAACTGTGGAGTCTGTTTGCTGTGTTGCTAGGCCATCTCCCTTATCTACTTTTCCCGCTTGCTATACTTTCCTAGGTCTTTTCCTCCTACCATTGGTGTTCATTTTTTATTTCTAATCTATTTTCTCCTCTCCCATGATTAGGTTCCTGCGTCTGACTTTATCCAATTCTCCAGACTGTCTTTTTCAATTTCATTGTCCCACCTTTCGCATCTTAAATTTTCATTCCTTTTATTTACTTCATTATTCATTTTTCATTCTTTTACTCAGTTTTCAGCTGTTTCTACTGCCACTCTGTCTTTTGCATTGCAAAGAAAAATGTTAAATATTGTCTCACTCCATCATTCTGTCTCCCTCATCTCCTACAGTCTTTGCATTGTTATCAAGCTGTCTGCTTACGTGAACAGCTCATTTTCTCATCCTTTTCCTTTAAGCCCATATCTTTGCAGAATGTTATTTGACACTTAAGTGAATTCATTTTTATTTCCAGGACTGTGGGACTTCTGTGACTCCTTATTTCTGCTCAATTCTCTTTATTCTCTTTTCAATTCCATCATGCTTCTCTAACAGTTTTTCTTTAAACTTTTGCCTTTTTTTTTTTTTTTTGGATTTTTTTTTGGTTGGGGTTTTTTTTGTTTGTTTGTTTGTTCAACAAGACAAGAAATAAGATCAGGAATCCTTTTGTCTAGCTCTACAACTCTTACACTGTGAGAAATCTGAGCAAGCAAACTCAGTGAATATAGAAGCACCAAAGTTCACTTTTTCACTCTCTTCCTAAATTAAAAAGAATCCCTGCTAATGGTTGGGGTGACTGTGGGTGAAGGAGACATTGTACACATATAATTTAAATATGCAATAGTGAAAGCACAGCTGTGTCAGTGCAAGTAAAAGCAGTTCTGTACCAGTATTTCAGAAGTTTTCTGGAAGAAGTGCTAGACAACTTTTGCCCATAGAAAGCAAATGTTTCTCCCCAGTTTCAGCAGAAAGCTGCTGGAGGAATTTCTGGCTGTGAGCCCTTTAGAGCCCTATGCCTGATAATGTTTGGGCACAAAGCTATAAATGGAAATCTGTAGCATTTAGTGACAGTGTAATTGCACTTACATCTACCTTTTGCTGTTGCCACCAGTGAGCTGTTAGAAACCAGTGTCTGTCAGTAAGGACACACCTTGCTGTTAAACCCAAGTGACCAGTGAAATCTTCCCTTACAGGTTTCCATCTCAAAAATACTTGACATAGGAACCTAAGAAAAAAATGTAAGATGTTTTGGTGAAGAAAAAACATACTAAGCCTATCTGTGTTGAGGGAGTGCTCGATAAGCTGGAATACAATCTTTCACACCATTTCTGCCTGTTCTGTTCTATCCAATAATTCCTGACCCTTTATGCTCGATTTCTTAGGTCGATGGCTTGTTCTTAGCACTCTAAAGATGTGTTGTATTGATCTAGTGAGAACTGACAGCATGCAACACATGCAAAAGTTTGCTGCTGCTGAAGACTTCAAACTTTTCATAAAATCTACGGATTATGCTTTGAGGCTTATTTTGTTTGCTTTGTTTTGCTTTCCCTGAAAGGACGTACCAACCACTGGTCTGCAATCATTGGCAGTTCTCACTCCAAGAACTACATCCTTTGGGAGTATGGAGGATATGCTAGTGAAGGTGTCAAGCAAGTGGCAGAGTTGGGGTCCCCAGTAAAGATGGAAGAAGAGATTCGACAGCAAGTAAGTGTATTTCAAAGCATACTTTAAAAAAAGCATCCTGCTTTGGCCTGGCAGTGATTTGCCACTGACAGTGTCTGTGAGTATAATATTGCAGACTAATTCTCAGTTAGGCAGATAAGATCTGCCTGTCCTTCTAGACTCATTCTTACTCTGGCAAGATTTCTTGTCTGTGAAGGGACAGGTAAGTTGCAGCATTGTGAACTTGGAAAATCTATGTTCCATGTAAAGCATAAACCAGAGGTGGAAAAGTCAAACTTAACTTTCTGGTGAGTTTAAGCATGAAGACACAGGTTTTGTTTAAAGAAAACCTTGAAGACAGCAAGCAGCATCTCTTATTCCTTTTGGAAGTGATGGGTTTTAGTTCATGGTATGTTAAGTCCTTTTATTTTCTGGCAAGGACTTTATTGGCAATTTTCTTTAAACTAGGATAAAAAGCAGCTTATAACAATATATAAAGGGGATATGAAAGGAATATGAACAGGATGAAGCAATTTTATTGTAGGGGGAATGTGATGATGGATATGTTCTCTCTTTAACTCATAGTAAACCTTGGTGTACCTGGAAGTAGAGAGTAGGCTTTGATCCTAGGTAACTTGCCTTTGCACCTGTACAGAGAAGTGGCTGGATTTTATCCAGCCAGTGTGATATAACCCCAGATGGATTAACATTACAGCTCAGTATTCCATATGCCACATGTAACTTAGCATTTTTGCTGCTTATTTGGCATGTCCTCATAGCAGGCCCACATGAAATAAGGAAAATTAGGTAATTAGTATCTTTGTACTAAAGAAGATAATTTCTTTGCACAGGCTTCACAAATACTTTATAAATAGGGATTTAGCACATCTGGACTGTGGCTATACAAAGATTAGATGTGGTCCTGAAGCAGCAGGGGCATGGGGAGAATCTGGGGTGAAGAGCAGCAACACTGCAGCATGTCATCAAATGCTGTAACCTTTTTATTGAGTTTATTTTTCTTGTTTCTTTTTCACATGTGATTAAGCTATGCCAATACTTTTGAGAGATTTCAAAGTCAAATTCTGCAACCAAAGCAGCAGATTTAGCAATGCCAGTAGCTAATTTGCTGACACTTAAGTTTGGCTTTTTCTTCAAATTGCACTTTGTCCCTGCCTGGGAATTTGACAGGATTGTTTCCTTCCATATACTGGGACATCTACCTCAGGATCTATTTGCCCCTTTTCCATTTCTTACTCTACCTTTCTTTCCCCTATGTGTTGTCCTCACAGCCTTTTGTTGTGGAGTGGTGGGAGGATGCAATTCCTTAAAATCACTCTCCAAGCAGCTTTGAGGTTTTTGAAAACACAAGAAAGGCAAATTCTGTGCTTAATTCTGGCTCAGAACCCTGTGCAGCAGCACTGGGCTGTAGCCCTCACCTGCAGCATTCCTAGAGCAGTTCCTGAACTTCTTACAGGGCCTGACTTGGGTTTGGGAATCTGCTGTGTGTCTGCTGTGTTTTGTAGGCATTTTCTTGGGTGAATACATAGCTCGTTGCAGAAATTGACATTATCTGAGGTTTAATCAAAGATAAATATCTGATTATTTTTGTGATTTATTACTATGCATGAAACAAACAAAGAAGCTCTTTTTTCAAAGGAGTTTTTTTAAGATGTGTCCTCACAATTCTGTGCCATTAAGTAAAGATTGTCAAGCTGAATGTTTCTGCTCCCTGTAGGAGAGATTGCGGCATCATCATCAGCTTTTCTTCTTGACTAGGTACCTCTGGCTGCTCTGATTTGTGTTGGTACTGGAAAGAGCCTGTGTGGTATTTTTGCATGGATGATCCTGGGTACTGTAAACTTGCTTTGTAGTTTGTTTATCTGGGAGAACTTAAAGGAACTAATCAGGCTTTTTGTTAAACTCTTCCTGGCAGCCTGGAAGGAAAGCCACAGCACAGAAGAGTTTTACTAAAACAATCTGTCAAGTGATTGATGTGTGCAATAGGATAATTCATGCATTAGACTTCAGGGGTTATAAATGAACAAACAGAGGATGGCAAAGAATGTTCACTGACCTTGTGCATCTCTGAAATATATTCCCACTTTAGCTTTGTTCTTAGAAAGTCTGAATTCTCCAGAACCTGTTGTTGGCTACACTGCCTGGTCAGCAACAAACTCAGAGTGTGAAAGAGGAATTCTGCACTCATGTTGTGATTGCTGTATTTAAACAAATGAACAAACAAGGTGGTTAAAACATGATTCAAAAGGAGTAAAGTTAAACGCTAATTGTCATATCTTAGGCAGATAAAACAAGATTAAAATACTCATTACTGTCTGATTTTAACATCTGCCACCTGAAGAGAACTCATTTGGGTTTGCCTAATTAATATTGGATAAATATTAAGTCATTTTGCCAGCATTTTGGTTTTTTAAACCAGGATAAGCAATATTCTGTACCTCCAGGAAATGCAGGCTGTTCCCTCTGCTTGTTCCCTATGGACACGTAGGTGACATTCTTAGGAGTTTGGTTTAATGCTCTCTGAAATGTCAGTAAATGGGATGACTTTTTAGATTGTCTTCAATGACCTCTGACTATGCCTCCAGATCCTTCACAGGATTGAGTTCTGCTTTCCAGAAAGAAGCTCATGATGTTTTTGGCACATGATAATTTATGTGTATTAGTAGAAGATGAAACCTGAAATAACAAAAGATTTCTGCAGAATAAAATACATTATTGATATTACTCTATCCAAACATCAATTTTTATGAAGTAGTTCTGGTTTGGATATTTTTTAATATGTCCCAATAATAATTGGGGAAAAAAAAGGAGAGAGAAGAGAGTAAAAATTAAAGCAAATTACTTATTGGATAGATCTGAATGGATTGATTTATTTTTTAAATAATTTCAGTATTTCAGTTAATAGTTGCCAATTTGGTTTTGTACCACAGCACTGTGTTCTTCCACAGAAGAATAGGGTCATTAGATTTTTCTGACTGAAACTGATAAATCACCTGAATTACAAAGAGGAATCTGCAGTATATTGATAACTTTTGTTATTGTTCTGAGCAAATTATTGTGTTTACTGAAACAAGCTCAAAATTTTGCTTTTTGAATCATCTGTTATTGTGTGCTTAGAGAAGGTAAAATTAGCCAACCAACCTGGGAGGTTCAACTCGGTTCTTCTTGTGCTTGACAGAACAGCTGAAAATTCTCTCTGAACACTTAAGTCTGAGAGACCAAGATATCCCTAACACTGTCTGACAATAAGGCTACTTTGCACTTGAAAGCTGCAATTACTGTTGAAATACTTTAGTCTGTGTTTGTTTAAAGTAGCTAAAAAATTGGTGACTACACGATGGCTTGGCCTTCATTGAAGGAGAAGGTTGAAACACATAGAGGTTCTTAGATTATTTTGCCATTTATTCTATTGATATTTCTGCTGCTGTTGTTACTCATGGAAACAGAAGAAATTGGCCCACTGGGATGTCTATCTTTGCTGAGCAAAACCTTTGGTGAATGGCATCAACATCCTCAGTCCCCAGGGTAGGTTTTTGTTCCCATCCAGATTTCAGAGGCACAAACCTCTCTCTGTTGAAAAGACAGGAAATATTAGTGAAGCCATAAAGTCTAAAATGCAAAGTATGATTGCTGGGCTTCCAAACAGTCCACAAGCCCTTTAGGTTTCTGTGCAGAGCCCATGGAAACTTTCAGTAGCTTTTAAGACTTGGTCTAACAGTGAAGTAGCAGAACTCTATCCCAGCATGTGTTCTCCTTTAGTTACTGCCTGTCACCATGGTTTTACTGTGGTATTTAATCTAATTCTGGACAGATCAAGCTGCTTGATCATAAATTTGTATCTAGACTTCTGTTTGCTCAGTTAGGCTCCTCTGTCCCTCTGTGCATACACCTCTGCTGTGAGTTATAGTTCTTTTTATGCCTTCTGAAAATGTTAAGTGGCAGTTTTTTCATCCTTTCCTTTTGGAAGGTGTACCTTCTGTAATGCTTTGAAATCTCTGGCATTTTTGGTAATTACAAGTTTGGAAATCCTTATTTACTGTGCTAGATTTCATAAAGTATTTCTGCCAAAATAAATTGTCATGTATTTGCACCTGTGATCTACAAGCTGTTAAGCCACTGTAGTTTTGTCCTGTGTTGGAAGTTACCAACAATCTCCTGTCTTCCCTCATCCCTTGTCTGTTGACACTGCTGATTGTTCTGGTCATTGACAAGCAGAGATGATATTTGAAAAATTAAACTGATTTTTTTTTCCTGTGCTTTTAACAGCCATTCCTATTTGATAATCAAATAGACACCTTGATTTTTAAAAGTCCAAGTTGTGAGCTTTCAATTTGCTTAATCAATTCCAGAAGTTTCACACCTCTAACTTTTATGGGAGTCTTTGTGGTTTTGCCCTCTGAATAATTACCCAGTAACTGATATGAAACAATTTGCAGAACTCAGCAATGGGTTATGGTGTTAACAGTTAGCTGAACATTTTAATTTCTCTTTCATTTACCTCAATTTGCCTTTTCTTCTCATCATCACAGACCCTCCATTTCTAATATAAAGCAGGAAGGAATGCATCTTTTTAGTAAAATCTAGTAATCAGGTTCTCTCTGAGTAAAAAAATCTTCAGGTATTCTTTTTGCAGAAGACAGAGCCTTCAAGAAAAAAAAATTAGTCTTAACTCAAAGGCTAGTTGTCTCAATTCTGATGCTAAATCTTGAAGAAATGAGACCTAACAAAACTCCTACCTGTTTTTTTTCTCTGTATAATAGCTGAGAGGACCATCAAAGCTCATGAATGTTTTCTCTGCCTCTTTGATAGCTGCCTGAATTGCAGCAAAGCAATGTTAGAGGAGGGAAACAGTTGCTTCTGTTAGATCCATTCGTTTGTACAGTGTGCAATAATTTTTGCTCTCCACTACACAGCCATAAAAGTCACAAGGAAATGTCATCTGTGTGAGCCAATACAATTGGATTGCTAGACATTATTTGCTAATTTTAGTATTTTAAGATATCTTGCCTTTTCATTTCCTGCAG